ATATCATATAAATTATAATATAAATAAAATAATATGAAGAAAATATTTACAAAGATCATATATAATTGAAATACACGTACATTATATTATTTAAATTTTATTTATATTACGAATTTTTAATATTTCTTAAATTATCTAAATAATCGAAATTTCTCATAGAGAAAATTCCATAATTACTATTTATGATAATATTAATTTAATACAAATGTTCAAACAGTGCAAAATTGACTTTTCAATTATATGTAATTCTTTTCATAAATTTATTAGTAACAAAATCAAAAAAGCTATTAATACTGCATAATATAAAAGTAATGAAATTTAACTCATTATATTTTATTTCATTAGTATATTTTATTACTGTTACATTATGCAAAAAGAAATTATAAATTATTAATATATCAATTTAGATTTTAATAATTATTATTTTTCATAATAATCTATTCTTTGAAAGCATATTAAAAATTTACTATCTTTGTCACTATTATAATCATTTATATATACCATCGATTTACAATTGAAAATTTTGTTATAAAAGAGAATTCATTTTTAATAATTTTTAAATTATTATGCGTAATATACCTAAAAAAAATTATAAATCATTGTGTGATGTAAATTAAATACAGAAATGATGCAAACTAATATGTTAATAAAACAATAACCATCAATAAAAACAAGCGATTATGTGTTTACTTTATTTTAAATTGTTTTATATATTAAGAATTAAAATATAGATTGTTATAATTTTATTAATAATATAAAATGATATTATTCAACTCCTATATGAAAAAAAATTTTTTGATTAATAAAATTACAAAAAATAAATTAATCAATAAAATATGTATTTTATTGTTTATATAATAAAAAATAATTATTTTTTGATAATTGAATTAATTGAAATAGCTTTTTTTTCATTTTTTATTAACAATTAAACATATTTTATTGATGCTTTTTTAATTAAGAATTTTCTGTTCGATACAAGAAAAAAATTCTATTAATTTTTATTATATCTTTTAATGTTATTAACAAAACGATAATGATTTCTATTCTTGATACACAAAACAACCCAAAATCTATAGTAAATCATCTTTTTTATCGATATCTGCATTTAGATTACCATATATAATAATAAATATAATTCTTTCTAATTATGTTAAATTAAAGCAATAATTTCATATGTTTCTTTTTTCTAATTTCTTTAAAGTTATTATAAATGAATCTAATTCTTTCTTGTTACAAAATCTTCAATTTCTTAACTCCATCCTATTTTCACTTTTGATATTTTTAAAACTACGTTCTGTCCTTGAAAAGATCCATTCGAATGGACTGCGTCCATTTCTCAGAATCGAAATTGCGTAGTCGAAAAAATAAAGAGGATAAAAAAAGTGGTAAAAGGTATAAAAAAGAAATATATATAAAAAAGACTAGTATCGATCAAACATTTAAAGATACCATGCACTACGATAAATAGAAGAAAACATATAAAGAGAACGAAAGCGTTTCTTTGAACGCGCTCGAAACCACTTTCTTCGGTTGGCTGGTCCAGCCAACGAGATAGGTGAGAGTGAGTTTGTTACAAACGTTACATCATGAATTACATACACATGATTGAGTATTGATTACGTATGAGTGAGCTTCCTTCACTTTGGCCTTCATTACGATCTTTACGTGGAGTTTTTCAGAAAGTCTATAAGTTATAGATTGAGAATGAGTTACGGTGATAATAAGAGAAAAGTGGATTTTCGTTTTTTGGCATATGAATATGGACACATGAAATTTAATTTTGGTAAAAAAATTATTATTTTTTGGAATGAAAATACTTTTTTCTGAAAATACAATTTTTTTTGGAAACGAATGTTTTTTCTTGAAATTAAAATATTCTATTTGTAAAAAGAAAGTTATGAAATGATTTTTAGAAGATCGTTACGATTATTTTTATTTGTAACTATTTATTATTAAAATCTATTTAATATTTGATATTTGATAAAAATTTTTTTTTATTATTAAAATTTATATTTAAAATTTGCAGTACTTATTATTTTAATGTGACTGTAAGAATATATAAATGTCTATGAATATCCTAACCTAAGAGTATTTTGATGAATATTGAAAAAATATCAAATATTATAATAATATATAACTATTATAATTATTTTATATTTGCTATGATAAATTTTTATATTTCATTAATATTTCACTAATGTTTTCATTTCTAACTAAGTATGTGATTCTTCACTGAAAATAAAATATTTATAGCTTATTTGAATATTATAAAAAAATTGAGATTATTAAGAAATATTGATTTAAAGACATTGATGATTTTATAAAGAAAGTAATTAGTTATTGATTGAAATTATAAATTTTCAATAAAAAAAATATTTTTCAAGTTTTTATTCTTTTAAAAACAAGTTTTACTATTTTTTTAAATTACTAAAATACTAAAACTATTACTACTAGTTTTACTTACTACTACCAGTTTTAAATTTTTTTACTAAAACAAATTTAATAATCTATCTACAAAATAGATCATTTCTATTTTTTTAAAAAAAAATCTTTAAATAACTTTTAAATTTAAAAAAACTGATGTAAAAAAAAATATGCATGAAAATATTTTTATTAAATTTATTCTGTAATTTCTTAATCTAATGAAATGTTTTTATGTTATTATGTGATTTATAGTTCATAAAAATTGATTTTTTAAATTAACGTTATTTTAAATTATTATGTATGAAATAAAAAATATTTATTGAATGATTTTTAGGTTTGAAAAAACTAATATCTTTAAAAATATTAATAATTTAAGTATTTTTTTATAGCAAAATATATGAAACTTTTATATTAAATAATTTGTTTTGTATACGTGTAGTAATTCACGTGATATACATAGAAACAGTTACATTCAAATATTACTATAGTTAATCACTTTTACCTCTGACTCAGCTATTATTTCAGTTAGAAAGTAATATAAAATTCCTATTAAAGATTATAAAATTACATAATAATCATTTTACTCTTATTTATTTTTTATATATACGATTACATTTTAGATCGAAATCAATTTCAAAATATTACTTATATTATTATTAAATAATATAAAAATATTAAAACACCATTAGAATAAGAAATACTAATTTATTATTTTATTTGATTTCAAATATTTCAAGTTCCAAATAAAGTTGAGTTTTTTTTTAATTATTCTTTGAAACTTAAAATTTATTTTAAATAGTATCTGTGAATTATATCAAGTGTTTATTTTTTAAAGATAATGATTACATAACTGAATAAATAAAACAACCTCGTTTAATGTTATTTTAGATATTAAAAAATAATTTATACAAAATAAATTGATTTTTAAGTATATATATATAAGTTTAAAATTACATAGATACAAATAATAATTTTGATCGATTGGGAACAAGATATAATGAAGGAATTTGAAAACAAATATATAATTTTAATAAATTTATACTAAAAAGAATCATTAAAATATTATAAAAAAAATATTTGAATATAAAAAAAATATTTGAATTAAAGATTAGAAAAATATAAAAAATAATAATTTAAATAAAATAAATGATTCACATTTATGAAAAGATTTAATTTATCCAGATTTCAATTTGATTAATCTGAACAAAATAATAAATAAAATAATAAGTAAAATGAATAAAAAAGATTCAAATTATTTGAATTTAAAAATATCATTAATTTTATATTGACAAAATTTATTGAAGATAAACATATAAAAAATAATTTTAATTTAAGCAATGAACTCAATTTTATTTCAAATAAAATAAATTACAATTTAAAAATTACAAGTTACAAAAATTATAAGTTATTTGAATTTAAATCAAACTAGCATTTCTCAATTTTGTTATCATGTTATCTAAATATATTTATTTTTAACAATAATGTGAATATATCAAATATGTAATATATTTATAAATCAATTTGTAATATATAAAATTTTTAAAAATCTGAAAAATTAAAATATATTATAATATAAATAAATAATAAAATTATGAATTTTTATATATAATTTGAATATGTTCCGAGCGTAGTTTAATTATTTTAAATATTTAAAAAAAAATTAGAATATTTTAGAAAGAAAAATTTAATAAAAATTGGAAAATTTTTGAACAATTAAAAAATATATAATAATTTTATTTTTTGCATTAATATTTATAAAAAGTTGATTTTTGTGAAGTTTATTATTTTTCTTCTGGACATTATTTAAAATTAAAAATATGTAAATGTAAATCAAAATATTTGTCGTATTTTTTATTATCAATTTTCAATACTGGATTATTATTTTATTTATCTATTCTAAATTTTTCATGATATATAAATTTAATATTTTAATATGCGCAATTTTTATACCATAACTTTTTTTTATCATAATTCAATGAAAGCTTTAATTAAGCTTTCTGATTAATCGATCATTTTTATCATTTTCCATAACGAAAAAGTTATGAATGAGTTTTATTATTTTAAAGATAATAATATCAATATATTAATTTAATAATATTCTAATAAATATTTTCTGCATTTAAAAAAAAATATTATAATGATTTATATAAATAAAAAAATTATAAATTATATAATATAAATATAATAATATATTTAATAATATATTAATGTAATATAAATATTTAAAATAATCACTTGTGTTTCTTTTCTAATTTTCAAAAAATTAATTGATTATTCAAAAATTAAAAATTAATTTTATATTATATAGATATATTAAGTTAACTATATTGTTATATATAATATAATAATTATTATCATATATAATTATACATAAAATTAATAAAAATTAATAATAATAATTATTTCTATTAAATATATCATTAAAAAATTCAACAGTAAATAGATCACGAAAAAAATTAAGACTAATAAGTTGAGAAACACTGTTTTAGACAGCGATCATAATAAGCGTCAAATGCTTCATCGATTATGAATCACTTTCACGGAAATACTAAGTAATTGCCTCTTTTGCCTTGTAGAAATGGAGTCTAACAACGAACCGCCGGTCATACGGACCGCTTCCTTGGAATTGAAAACCCGGAGATCACAGATGCAAACACAGATTTCTTCCGTGGAATCGATGCAAAAACAGGCTGTCTGTGTGAGAAGAGCTTTCAAGAAATATGGCAACAAAAATAATCCGAATATTATTTTAGATGGGCTGAACATGACTGTGCCGAAAGGCACGATGTAAGTTTCGTAACTTGACATAAAAACAGCTTTTTCCACGTGTGGCTGACTATGTAGTGAAGAGATATTCTCCTATATAGATATAGGAGAATCTGACACTATAGTGATGATATTGTAATATCAGGCAAAATAATTTTATTAATTAATTGATAATAGAATATTTTAAAATAGCACTAACCGATTGTAGAATGTTTAAAGACAAAAGAATTGAAATAAATAGTAGTATTTGTATTTAAAAATATTTTAAATATCTCTTATATATCTAATCCTATATATATGTATAATAGGTATAATAGGTATAAATGTATAATAGGTATATAATGTATATAAGTATAATAGATATATGTGAAAATACCTAAATATCTGGAAAAATACGGAATGATATGAAAAAATATTCTAGATAGAAAACATTTAGTGTAAAAAGATATATTATATAATATTAATACTTTTTTTATAGATTGACGCATAGAGATCAATTTAATTTTTTTAAAAGAAATTATATAAGTTTTAATCAATAGATATAGATCATTATTCTTATAAAAAAAATATCACGTCATGTCTTAGATTAAAAATTTTTAGATAGATTTTATTTTGAGATATTTTAAGAGAATAAAAAATATTTCAATCTGAAGTTCATAAAACTTATCATGTAAAAGAATAAATATTCTATTGCTGTCCTCGTTTGTTTTTTGTATCTACAAAAATAAAAAAAGTATTAAAAGTTTCGTAATCGATTTTACTTTCTTAAAAAGATTTTTTATTGAAAAAAAATGATTTCATATATAATTATATCTTTATATAAGAAAATCATAACTTTTAGGTTAAATAAAATTTTCTTGTATATAAGATAATATAAATATTTTCTGAAGTCATATATATGTATATAATATTAGATAAATAATTATATATAATGTTAAATAATTAATTAAAAAATGATAATAAAATTTTTATTTCATACATTAATACATATAAAAAATTTAAAATATTTTTTATAATATAACACTAAAATTGGAAAATTTATAAATTTTTTTTTTTATTTTTGTTGTTATAATTGCTTACTATAATTTTAAAATAAGAAATCGTTTACTATATTACTATATTTATTTGCCTAAAATATTATGAAAAATAATAAGTAATAAAATAAAAATAATAATAATAGTTAAAAGAAAAATGTTAATTTATGTTAAACTATATTTATTATATTCAGTAATATAGTGATATAATCAGTAAATCTAAAAAGTCAAAGATTGAATGATGATGCAGAAAAATATGCAAAATAGAAATTCTATATCATTTATGAATTCTTTTTCTTCGTTTTACTACTTTAATAGTTTAATTTATTACTCTTAAAAATTTTTACTATAAAAATTGAATCATGTTATATACATCTTAATTTTTCTTATTTAAAAAACTATCCTTTTATAATTTTTTTTATTTTAGTTTTTTTCCATTGAATACGTTACAATACGTTTCAAATTTCAAACACATTACAAATTCTTCTATATGATGACTAAGATTTTTTCTTTAGAAATCAGAAAAAATAATTTTCCACGTAATTTTATTGAAACTAAAAGATTTTTCATTGAAAAATAAATTTATCTTCTGTTTATTTTTTGCTTTTGCCTCCGGAATAACGAAGAAGATTTTGAATAAATAACGGAACTATTGGACTATGCGTTATATATGTCCATTAAAAATTTAAGCTATTGTATATTCATAAGGAGATTATAATTAATTATTGATTTAATATAAAAATTGCTTTTTAAATTATAGATAATAATAATATAATATTTATGTAATATTAATGTAAAATGGTAATTATAATTTCTGATAACTAACTAATTGTTAAAACAATTTTAACTTTTAAATCAATATTTATTTATTTGAGAGAGATAAGATTTAATTGCAATATAAATTTATATTTTAATACGTGATAATATTTTGTCATATGATTAAGAATCTGACAAATAAGTTTCAATTCTGATTAAATTCAAATACTTTATAAATATTTTGGAAAGAAACAGTAACAATACTAATATATTTAAACTTATGCAAAAAGATGTATTTTTTATGATTATACAATTCAATTCTTTTATTTTATTTCTATAGAATAAACATTTTTCTATTTTTAGAAAATTTAGAAATAGAAATATTTACAAAAACAATGAATATCATTGATAAAAAAAGAATAAAAACTAAATGTTTCCAATATAATTACTTTTAACTATTTATATATTAAAAAAATAAAATGTAATTACAAGCATTATATTGAATATATTATTTAAAATCTATTATATAATTTTGATTTCTAAAATTTAAATACTACTGATGAAATATTTATAAATATCATTTTGAAAAATCACATTCCAAAAATGCTAACTCATATAAAATGAATACATTTCAAGTATAATTATTAAAATATTATTACTTTCTTAGTGATATTTAAAATTCATGGAATCATAAAATTGATTCTTAATCATTAAAATTCATATTCATATAAATACATATTGAATTTATCCATCCAATTAACTCCATTATTTATATTATTTTCAATATATTAGGAATTAATCTTTGAATCTATTTGAGGAATAAAATTTAATTTAATACCATAATTAACTTTAGATACCATAATTAATATTTCAATTGTTTTTAAAAGAAATTTTAATAATTACTTTAAAAATCAAATAATAAAATAAATATTGATAAAACTTTTAATTTTTTTAAAATTTTTATTAGAAAAATCTAAAGTAAAAATAAACTGAAAGACATTAGTGTAATAATGAAATTTTTTTTCAATCTTAATGTATATCTTAATATATATATCTTAATGTATATAATAATAACACAAAATTAAATTTAATATATATAATCAATATATATAATATATATAATCAATAGTATAATATTATAATAGAATATAATATATATTAATATAATATATAGTAAATTATAATTATAATAAATTGTTACATTATTATAATTCATATATTTATCTTCAGATATGGTTTACTTGGTGCAAGCGGTTGTGGAAAGACTACATTGCTCTCTTGCATTGTGGGTCGAAAACGATTGAATTCCGGTGAGATCTGGGTACTCGGTGGTCGACCAGGCTCCAAAGGATCAGGTGTTCCAGGCCCACGTGTGGGTTATATGCCACAAGAAATCGCATTGTATGGAGAATTCTCCATAAGAGAAACATTCATTTACTTCGGTTGGTGTGCTGGGATGAACACAAAACAAGTAAATGAAAAATTAGATTTTCTCGTAAAGGTAAGTCTATTGAATCGTAATTTTAATTATTATGTATGTATGACTATATTTAAAATAAGAAAATAAATTATCTTGTTTTAATAAATCCCAAAAAAATGAGATAAATAAAAACAACGAATTTAATGTATGACGTGTGTTAAAGAAAATAAAAAAAAATAATTAAATTGAATTAATAAAAAGTATAATTGTTTCATCTTAATGTATAAAACAAGTAATATATAAAGATAATTTTAATATCATATGATATAACTTTAAAAATGTATTTCATTTTAATTTATGTTAATGTACAAATAATTAACTTCAATAAATAATGTTGGTATAATCTTTTTTGTTTAATCGAATGATAAATACAATGTTTCAATTAACATATTCATAATGATGATTATAATTTTTTTAAATATTGCGCAGAAGTACATCTATTTAATATGAATTAATCACAGAGAAAATATGATATATTTTTTTATAATTTGAATTGAAATAAATTAAAAGTTTGTATTATATAACAATCTTTTTATATAATGTATATAATAGATAAAATCTTTAAAAAAAATATATATATATTATGATGAAATAATAATAATAGTATAAATATAAATATGCTTAAATATTTGTGAAATTGTTATAAATATTTAGTTATTTAGTTATTAATAGTTATTAATAAGATTTTTTTTAATTATTTTATTTAATTATTATTCTTGAATGACAAAAATTACTTAAAAAATTATTAAAAAAAAGAAAACATTTAAAAATATTTTAAATTATGTTAAATTAAAACTATGTAATTTAAACATATTTTATTATTTACTAAATATATTTATTATTTATTAAAAATATTATAAAAATTACTTATAATAAACTTATAATACATATTTTTATAAATATTTTAATTTTAATAAATACTTTATTTTAAATATTAGGAAATTAAATTTACATTAAAATGAAACGAAAAAATAAAAATTGTATAATTACTAGTAATATATAATTAATAATTAATATATATAATTAATAATATAATTAATAATAATGAAAAAAACTTGCTTCTAATTTTAGATTTCTAATTTAAATTTCTAATTCAAATTTAATGAAAAAAATAGTTTCTGTAAAATTAATTTCGAAATATTACAATAGCTTTTCAATTTTAATTTTTTTTTAATTCAGAACATATTTATATTTTTTTTATTTTTTATTTTTATTTTTATTATTATAATCTAATATTCAATTACAAAACAAAATAATTTAACATGAATTGTTTGAACAGTTTTTACAGCTGCCATCAGAAAATCGTTTCGTGAAGAATTTATCCGGTGGTCAACAGAGACGTGTATCTTTTGCAGCAACTCTTTTGGCTGATCCAGAATTGATGATTCTGGATGAACCTACGGTAGGTGTAGATCCTGTTTTGCGACAGAATATCTGGGATCACTTACTCCACGTGACAAAGGACAAAAATAAAACCATTATAATTACCACTCACTATATTGAAGAAACAAGACAAGCTGGCATGATAGGTTTAATGAGAGGTGGTAAATTACTTGCTGAAGAATCACCAACCAAGTTAATGGAAATTCACAATTTAGATAGTCTAGAGGATGTATTTTTAAAGCTAAGTAAGCGACAAAATATAGGTCTTCGAAGAAGAAGTAGCATCCTCAGCAGTGTTACTGGTGTTCCTCCTGAAAGTGTATGTTTTCAATTTTTTATCATATTATTTTGCTTTTTCTTAATTTTTTAATTAATTATTTATAAGTTTTTTTTATAACTTTTATTTTTAAATTTACTAATATCCATTTTGTTAATTTTTCAAACATAAAAATTGATTTCTTAAACATAATAATTTTTTACATAAGTTTTTAATATATTTTCTTCTTTTTTAATAAAATTTTTTAAGAATATTTTTAATTTTATATTAAAAATTTATTTAATTTTGTGTGTTTTTTTTTTTCAGACAAACGTAGATGACGAAATGAGTGGTGAATTTGGTGACAATATTAGTGTTTCTAGTAAAAGAAAAAGCATTGTGATCGACGAAGGAAATGTACGTTCAATTTCTTATTTTAGTGATTATGTTTTTTGTTTTAATTCTTTTTCACTATTTATTTATTTTTTTTGTGGAATTTTAATTTAAATAAATGATTTGAACAGATTCCAAATATGCCACCAGAAGAAAAAGGCACCACAAGTTTTAAAATGATCGACCCACAACATATGAAAGCTCTTATATGGAAGAACTTTTTATGGATGTGGCGAAACGTAGGGTAAGTATAATAATATATATAATAAATAAAAATAAATAAAATTTTTACAATATTAATATTTTTTCAATTAATATACAAAGTATTATTTTTTATTCGTAGAATACTTTTAATGAACAATTTTAAAGATCAAAATAAATACAAAAAATGATACATAACAATTAAGAATTATTTATTAAAATAAAAACAATTTAAGTTCAAATGGAACAAGTTGAAAATAAAATGTGACAACTATGTAATGAAAAGAAAATGTCTCACTCTCTTTCTATCACGTTTTATCTAATGCAAACTTCAATTATTTAATAATAAATCTGATATTTTTGTATAGTAAATTTTGTATTTATTTAGATTCTCTAATTTGATATTAAAAATTCATTTTTCTTGAAAATTAGAAAATAAAATTAAAAAAAAAATTTTGAATAAAATAAATATGGAAAGCGTATAATATATTATTATAAAAAATATTTTCAAATTCCAAAAATATAATATTTCACTATTAAATTGAAAATAGAATTGAATACATTAAATATTTAGTAGATAATTATTAGCATATAATTACTTTTAAATTATTTTTATTAATTACAAAATGATAAGTAATTTGCACTAATCATATGCAAAAAGAAAATTAACAAAAGATAAATCATGTAAGAAATGAAGTTTTAAACACAAAATAGATAGAAAATTTGATAACTGCAATTACTTATGATTTTTTGAAGATCTAAATTTACATAGGAAAATCTGTATTTCGCAAAAAATATAATTTAAAGTTAGCCCTTAAAGAAATAACAGTAAAATATAACTCAAAAAATATTTGTCAATTTATTTTTCGTATAATATTAAATAACTTTTTATTATATATACTTTAATTTTATTTTAATAACGAATTTTTAATTATTTATATCATTTCAAATAGTAAAGCATTCTATTAAATTAAATTTTATATTTATTTTTATGTTTTTAATGAAAATTGAACGATTAAAAAAAAAAGAAAGAAATGTATTAATATATTTCACATTAAATATTTATACATACATGTGTTAATTTCGTAAGCATATTTGTAATCTATAAGCACAAATTATATCTCTAAAATATATTCATCAAAAAATAATTTAAATATAGTACTTTAAAATACAAAAATTCTATTATATTTGATATTAATTTTTTTTTTCAGCATGATGTTATTCATTATCGGTCTCCCAGTCGTTCAAATTATTTTATTTTGCATTTCCATTGGCAGAGATCCAAAAAATTTAGAATTAGCAATAGTAAATTATGAATTAAATAGCAGCATGGAACCTTGTATACCAACAATAGATTGTAATTGGACTCACTTAAGTTGTCGATATTTACATCATTTAGAGGAAAGATCGATAAAATTTCTACCATATGATTACGAAAAAGATGCTAAAGAAGCTGTAAAACGTGGCAACGTATGGGGTGCTATAATTTTTCCTTGGAATTACACAGAGTCTTTAGAAACAAGAATTACGTATGGCAAAAATACTGATGAATGGAGTACAGAATACTCTAATATGAATATCTATATGGACATGTCTAGTGAGTTTATATATTTAATCAAATTTTAAGAATTTTTTTATCAATTTTTCTAATTTATAACTAATAAATAATAAATAATAAATAATATTATATAATCAGATAAATAATGATTAATAAATATTTATATGATCAGATGAATATCTATGAAATTTCATTGAAAAGAATTTTTTTCTTGATTCTTTTTTTTTTTTTTTAGATCAACAAATTAGCCAACTTCTTCAAAGAAGTATTTATCTTTCATATGAAGCATTTGTTAAGGAATTATCAATTGCTTGCAATTATAGTGAGAAAGTAGCAAAAATACCAATAGATGTAAGTGGGAAAATTTAAAAAGATATTATAATACAGTAAAAAAATTTATAAAAATATATATTTATACAGTTTAGAACACCAGTTTATGGTCCTCTGGATCCTAATTTCACGGACTTTGCGGCACCTGGTGTTATTTTAACGTAAGTGTTTATTAATAAATATTTTCTCTACATTTAAAATGATATATATTTTTCTTTAAACAATCTTTTATTTTTAAAAATTTTTTTATTTTATAAAAGTTTTTATATTGTAGAATAATTTTCTTCTTATCGGTTGCACTGGCCTCCGGTTCCTTATTGTTAGAAAGAAACGAAGGTCTTCTTGAAAGAAGTTTAGTTTCTGGTAAATAAATTTATTATAAATGAAAACAATTGAATATATTTTATAAACTATTTTTTTATAAATAGGTCTCACTGGAACAGAAATTCTTTTCGGACAAGTTATAACTCAATTTACAGTTATGACAGGCCAATCTATTATGGTTCTTTTAGTTACATTTGTTGCTTTTGATATCACTAATGAAGGAATATTGGTTGGATTGGTACATTGACTATTCTTACTGGATTATGTGGAATGTGTTTTGGTATGAATCATTTTAATAATAATAATTATCATTATTCGTTAATTTAATTAAGTTTAATTTTTAGGATCTGTTATTGCTTGTTGTTGCGAAAGCGAAAGAACTGCTACATATCTTGCAATGGGTGCTTTTTTACCTATTGTAATGTTATGTGGAATAATATGGCCTATTGAAGGAATGGATCATGGATTACGATGGTTTAGTTTTATCTTACCTCTAACAAAGAGTACAGCTTCATTGAGAGCTATGTTAGCTAGAGGATGGTCAATTTCAGAGCCTACCGTTTACAATGGTTTCATTGCTACATTTATTTGGATAATCATTTTTATGACTTTGTCTATATTATTACTTAAATTTAAGAAAGGATAAAAACTTTTGTTTAAAATATAAATTAAATGATGCATTAGATATTGTATGAATGAAAATATTTTGTAAAATTTTTGTATGAGATTTGTTAATATACAAAAATTTAAAATATGTAATAAAATTATGCATATTGCGAGAAGAATACATAAAAATATGCTGAAGATGTACACATTCTTTTTGCTCAATATGATTATTATTAAAAATGCGAAGACATTATATATTTATGTAATATAATTATAAGTAGGATTCAAAATAATATAAAATTAGATTAATAATGTTTTTATAAAAATTGAATCATTGATATAGAATAATCATACCAATGATTTCTTCTTTTATAAATTGTAATAAATTTTGTTCATATTTTTTTATATTATATAATGATGAATTGTTATTTTTATATATTATTTTATTCTTATATAAATACATCTCACAATATATAATATAAAAAAATGTACATATAATCAAATATAGAAAATAAAAATATACAATAAAAAATTTATAAATCTTATTTGTATTGAAAAAATTTTATATAATTCATTAAACATTATTATATGTACTATTTTATGCAAACTTATATTTTATTTATCTTCATTATTTTATGGATTTTGAAGGACGTAAAAATTGTTCATGCAACGTTTTATGGATTCTTTCTGCTTTTTGTAATCCAATACCAGGACAAAGAGCTAATGTATTTGACTGTGATCTTATTAATTCACTTAATGTTCCAAAAGTTGATAAAAGGGTTGTGGCATCTGTTTTATTAACTGATCTAATTGTTGTCAAAGCGTTAACTAACTGAAAAAAAAACATAACTGTAATCTTTAAAATAAAAAAATCTCAATATACTGTTATTAATACATTATATATATACTTTTTGATATGGTGCTGTATCACTTCGATCCATAATTGCATCAGGTGGTTTATTTTCATAAATTTTATATGTTTCAATAATTTTTCCTGCATCTTCTGCATTCCATGCTAACATTAATGTCAAATCTGCTAGAATACAAATTCTTGTTAAATGTTTTAAAGCATGATGAGGTTCTGGCACATCTACCTATAATATTTTATTAATGTATATAATATAATTATTTATTATTACATATAATAATAATAATTAAAATGAACCTGTACTAAAAGTACTCTTAAGTTATACATATTTCCTAAGGTTTTCAAACGTTCATGGATATAGTCAGGATTAAGTTGATGATAACGTATTGACAAAAAAAGAGCACAAGTAGTTTTCCCCATAACATAATCTGGTACAATTTCAGAATATTCCCAAGGAACATTACTTATGAATTTCAATAATGGATTACCTTTCTATAAAATGAAATAATATAAAAAAATTATTAACTAACAAAAAATTTACATATTTGTATCTTACTTGTTTTAAACTGACTAACAATGTACTAAATTTTGAAGAATCTTTGACTTTAGAAGGACCAGGTATGGCTTCATTAAAAAATTCTGATTTTCTTAATTCACTAAATGCAGCTGTAATATAAAATATTAATATTTAGTATTTTCAATAAAAATTTATTAAATTTAAATTAAAAAAAATATATAAAATAACTTACATTGAAAAGTGGAATCAATTTTAGTTTGTTTAGGTGGAGAGACTTTTTTCTTCAATTTTATCTGTATTTTCCATATTTAAAACTTATTTATTTCTATTTCCAAAATTAATTATCTAAATTATCCTAAAAATTTTTAAGAATTATATTATATATATAACAATACTATTAAATTAATTTTAATGTATTAAATATCAAATTTATAACATTAGAATAATCTTTTATTTAAATTATGATATAATTGAAATAATTAGAAATTAATAAGTTATTTACAAAGTTAGCAAAGAAAAACAAACATAATACATGTATAGGTTATTATTCTAATAAATGAAATAATGATGAAATAATAATAACAAATAACAAATTATTAATGATCAAATTTTATCTTATACAATAACGTTTTGATAAATAAATTATATATGCCAATGAATTAAAATAATTATTACAAATAATTATAAATTTATTAAAATATTATCGCTATTATAAATGTATTATATATATTATTATTTATAAAATTTTCATAATAAATCTTCATTAAAAATGTACAATTATTACACCTTTAATTAAAAAAAAAATTAATAATATATAGTATCTTTTATTTTTTCTATTGGTAACACTGTCAATTGATAATATTTGATAACATATGTAGGTATTAATTTCACATATTTTTTTATCAACTGGATTATTATTTTGACTATATTTGACTATATTTTTGTTAGAATAAAATGGGATAAATGTTCACGTATATTTTAGAATTGAGAAGACTCACTAATAATAAATCTTTGTAGATGTAATAAAATATTAATATATTCATTAAATCTAACCTAAAATTTTTAAATGAACAAGGAAACGTCAGAGATTAAAAATGCTAAACATCCTCCTTGGAAGGATGTTGGCATATCAGATCCACGAGCACGATTGAAGTCTCTTTCTGACTATGCTTCCACTGTGGAGATGGATCGTAACATTCCACCACAAAGGTATCAACTACTTATCTTATATACTATATATTAAAAAACAAATTTAATAAATCTAATGTTATTAATTTGTTTAAATTTTTTTAGATATTATCGTTCTGGTGTAGAAATGATTAGAATGGCAGATATGTGTATGAAAGATAATAATCTTGAATATGCATATTTTTTATATGTTAAATTTATAACGTAAGATATATACATATATATAATTTTAACATATAATATAATATATAATTTATTATATTTTAAAACATTTAAAAAATAAAAATATTTAAAATATATTAATATATTTAAAAATATATTATCACAGAATTTTTGTTGAAAAAATAAGAAATCATCCACAATTTGATACAGTACCATTAAAGGATAAGGAACATAATCAACAAACATTACGGAAAGTACTTCCCAAGGCTGAGGAGTTAAAGAAACAATTATTAGAACAATATCAAACAGAGTTAAATAAATATATGGAAGATGTAAAAGAAAGAGAAAAAATTGAAAAAGAAAGACAAAAACGAGAAGAACTAGAAAAGTATATTTTCATAATATTTTAGAAATTGTATAATATTTAAATTCATAATATTTATATTCATATAATATTTGTTTAGGTTGAGGGAAGAAGAAGAAAGGAAGAACAAATTAGCTGCATTAGCAGCTGTTAAAGCAGCAAAAGCTGCTTTAAGTATGACTATTGAAGATGACAAATCTAAAAAAATACCCACTATATTATCAAAACCAATAACTCCATCTATTGATATAACTGCACAAACATCAAAAGAAAAGTAAGTCTAATATAAAAAAATTAATTATAACATTAAATTATAATTTATAAAAAATATTAAGTTATAAATTTATTATTTTTTAGACCTATTATAGATCGCTCAACAAAACCTTCTTTGCTTTGCGACACTTTTACTTTAAGAGATATAATACTGCCAACTAAATTAATGCATAACTTTCTTATGTTGGCTTTCACTAATACCATGAATAATAAAGAAACTTGTGGTATACTAGCAGGAAAATTAGAAAAAAATAGATTACTAGTTACTCATTTATTAATTCCTGAACAAACTGGATCTCCAGATTCTTGTGTAACACATAATGAAGAAGATATATTTGATTATCAAGATCAACATAATTTGATTACTCTTGGTTGGATACATGTATGTATTTTTTTTATTATCTAAAATCATTATTTAAAGTAAAAACTAATTATATAAATTATGTCAATTGTATAAATTATATTCCAAATAGAAAAGATAATTATATTTCACAGACACATCCTACACAGACTGCATTTCTGTCTAGTGTAGATCTTCATACACATTGTGCATATCAACTTATGATGGCTGAAGCAATTGCAATTGTTTGTGCTCCTAAATATGATGAGTAAGTAAAACAGATTCAAATAGATCCAAAAGAATATAAAAAGTAAAAAAATGAATTTTTCTTAATTCAAAAATAACTTTTTATTTTAGAACAGGATTCTTCATTTTAACTCCAGAATATGGATTAGAATTTATTGCAAATTGCAGAGAAACTGGATTTCATCCACATCCAACTGATCCACCACTATATACAGTAAATTGCAATTATATATTAATTATGCAATTTGTGTAAATATTATACACATTTAAAACTTATTTCTTTTTCAGAAAGCAAAACACTGTAAATTGGACGTAACAGCAGTTATAGAAGTAGTGGATTTAAGAAGAAAATGACATCTTTTAGATATGTATATACATATTTTCACATGTGTATACTTTAAAATGTGCAATTAATATATAACAAGTTATATGTATATTTAATTATCAAATACGTTATATCAAGTAAAAAAAGTGAAAAATTGCAAACACTTTAGCTTAAATAGCATAAAGATTTAGCAGTTGCAAAGCTTTCAATATTTTTATGATAAAGTATTTAAAGAAATCTTTAATATATTTAAAGTAAAATTATGCATTTAAAATCGGTAGAATGAAATTAGTTAATCGCAATTAATATAACGCAATATTTAAATGATAAATTATAGTAGATTAAAAAGAAGAATTTTTATATAATTTAAGAGATTTAAACAATTAATGACTAGAAATTATTTTGACTGAAACTAAACATTATCATTAAATAATAGTATTAAAATTTTCATTTCATGAGCATTGAAAATTTTCAACCTCTTGTAATGAAAATAAAAAATTTGTTTACATATATAATTTATATGAAAATAGAATATTTATAATAATGAGATATAAATGTGCTTCTATTACTTTTTCATACTATTTATATTTATTTACTCAGGTAATATGTTATACTATGCGCCAGAAAATAAATGTACAACAAAAATTTTTATAAATATTAACGGTGCGCAAAATCTGTGTATAAGTTTACGTGCCTTTCATGGAAAAATAATGGTGTTCATAACCTCATGCTAATCATATGAAGTATGTTCCGCGTTTAATAATTGTAGATACTGTACGACATTGTCAAATAACATTAATTATGATCGAATGAATCAATGGAATCGTATCATTACGTAAGATCATAATCGAAAAATCAATAAATGCATTGACATACTGTACTAGTCATAATTTAATACATGGGCTTATGAAATATATTGATACATTGAAATCAATATACCAATTTTGTGTGATGCTTCTTTGTATGTATTCTATTAGAATGCTATTTAAAAACTGTATAATTCTAATAGATATTGTGTTAAATGATATTGATATAAAAGGTTTGTACTAGTAGGTACCTGAGATAATTTTTGTGTACTTAAAGGTTAAATTACATATTTACATATTGTTTATGAGATTGTACTATTCACTCTCATAAATATGCAACATTTTGTATATAAATAATTATTCATTCCTTACTAAATGTAATTATTCAGTTTATAACGATAAATATTTAAATTGCCAAATCGTGATCAAACACGTGCTATACATTGAGGGACGTAAATGCTAATTAAAAAGATTAATCCTAATTATAGAAGATAATTTATAACACTGGCCTATGTTCGTACCAAAAAATATTTATGACTACTGCATACACATTCAAATATTATAATTATAATAAGTAATTGAATGTTAATAAAAAATGTATATATTTCGCAAGAAAAAAAATAAATTATAAATTAATATAAATATAAATAAAATAATATAATAATAAATATATTATTTTCCATTCTTTATTATAATCAGAATTTTTAACAATAAAATAAATTTTTATTGAGTCTTATAATTCATCTGTACTTTTTACATGCATTGAAAATTATTCATAATCAGGATTCTAAATAGAATCCATTATAGGTATATACCAATACTTCGCGAGAATTCATTGTAGGTATATACCAATACTTTTCATTCACTTCTCTTCATGTATATCGAATTACTTACATTGAAGGGTTTCGCGCTTTACAGGTTTTATCGATGGCAGGGTCAATCTATTTTTATATGGCAGCTTATACATTCTTCATTTTAACGTTTACAAATCGGGTATAAATCTACGCATAAGTATTCTCTTTGTGCATATTCTTTATTTATAAAAATTTTAATTCTTTGTACTATTTTTTGATCATTTTTTAGCGTTTATTGATATATTAATATAATGTTAAAATATCTATTTAATAATAAGATTTATTTGGAATATTAATAATTCAATAACAATTATAAATTATTTTTGAAAATATTTATTAAAATAGATATGGACAAAATATAAAATCTATATTTCATTTATGGTATAAAGCAATAAGTAAGGTAACTTTCATTTTAAAATATTTTGATTTTGATCTTGATAGCATTGTTGAAATATTTATAATTGTTATTAATTATGCAGAAATATTAAACATGTATTTACTTTTGTATAATTTCTAAAAAATAAAATGAAAAATTATTAAATAGCGGATTGATTTTTTCTAAATATAAAATTTTAAAAAACATTATAAAAACTTTTAGTAATATGAAAAATGCAATTTTCTTTTGAGAAGTGAAATAACCACAAACGTTTACTTTTATTTTGCATTCTCAATCTTATCCGTCACATGTTTAGAATAAAAAAATCTCATAATTCAATCATTTATAATTTTAGATATAACGTTCAAAAGAACGAAGTAAAGTGCATTTATTTCAATATATATATATATATATTTTAAATTTTCTTTAAGAAAAATTGTTATACTGTTATATGTAATATATTTAATATAAAATAAAATAAATATAATATATTCTATATTAAAAATATTGATTACTATTCAATAATTATTTTTCTAATAAAGATGTCTGTTTTATATAGATACAAATTTCGAGAAGAATTAAGAGATATAAAAAATATTCAAATAAAAATTGTTCGATGAAGAGGATCATAATATAAATATAAATAAATACTGAGAAAAAATATGAGAGATTTCAAGATGAAATGGAATATTATATATTTTTATATATAATATACATAGCATAATAGTGTTAAGATAAATCCAACTCATTTTATTTAATAATATATTATGAAATTGTTGAAAAATTAAACAATATATCCCATTCATTTTCAGAGAATTAAATATTATTTGATTGTATTATTTTATTGAAAATGAATTTATTTATTTATCATTTGATAGTCTATTGATAATAAATAAAAATAATTTACGAATTTTCTATAAAATTTCAATTCAATACAAGTTTTTAAAGAATTAAGAACCAGTTGAAATTATTTATATTTAGATTTATATGCATATATAATTTGCTTTATGATAATTGCACATATATTTTTCAAAATTGCTGTTATTTTACGAAACAATATAGTTAATCACTATATATATATATAGATAATTTTTCAATTATTCAAAAGATTAGAAAATAAATTTTAAGATTTGAAGATTTTTTCTAAAGATTAATTAAATCGATAATTTAATAAATGCATTATCATTTTGTTTTAAATCATGTTTTTCATAAAAATCGCTTAGTTGGAAAAATCTTTGATTCAGTAACGAAAGATTAATTAACATATGGATAAATGAGGAGAGAATATAAGCAAATATGCAATGACCGCTTACCTTTCAAATTTATTTGACAGTATAAAATATATATGATATAAAATACCATAGAGTAAAATATTTATGATACATATACTATTCTCTTTGTTATTAATCTTTTTGTTATCGATTTTTATTATCGAATATTGACTAGATACAAGTTGAATAATGGAAATTTTAACATATGTAAAACTATTTCACGAATATAAGAAGCTAATGTATTTTAATGATTAGAAATTAATATATAATTATCTAATTATAATTAATATTCAATATAATATATATATATATATATAATAAAAATTCTCAAACAATGCGAGAAATTGAGAAATTGGAACAAAATGACAGATATATTTATAATAATAAATTATATAAAAGAATATATAATCGATATAATGAAATTTGAATAAATGTATAATGTCTTTGAGATTTTCAAAATTCTTTTTACTATATTCTACACATGTATAATTTATTTATATTATATTACACATAATAATACATTATTACACATATATATTTATATTACATATAATAATTTAATATTTTATTTCAAATAATGTTTTAAAGTAGCTTAATTAAGATAGTTAAATTTGATAGTTAAAATTAGCTTTATCAAAATTATATTATCGATACATTAATAAGTTATTATATAATATATTAAAATTATTGACTATTTAGAATCAATTTACAATTATAAATATCAATTAAAAACAGAGTAAAGGATCTAAAATCTAAAGCTAAATATTTATCATTAGAATGTAATCGTTAAAAAAAAAATTTGTTCTTTATAATAATTTAATTCTTCATGTTCTATTTATAAAATATACATATATATAAATTTATAAGTGAACTATTTATAAATAATTTGAATAACCAATTTAACTTATCTAAATAATTTGAGTAAATTTCGAGTTTTGATGATCGATAATATATATTTATATCGTCAATTTTATTAGGTATTTATATTATTTAATGATAAATTTAATAAAATATCATAAATTGTCAAAATAAATTTTATATTTTATGTTTTTCTTATATTTATATATTTGCTATTTATCTTAATTCAATTAATATTCAATTTAAACTCAATACAAACTTTAAGATAATTAAGTCGAAAATGAGTTAAAAAAAGAATGTCAAAAGACTACAAAAAGATGTCACTATTGTCGATGCAAAATTGTTCTTTATAATTCTAATCCTAACCTACTTTAATAAATAATTTCAAATGATAATATTAAAATTTCTTATCTTTGAAGACTATACTTATAATACACTAATAATGATGACTTTTTTTAATCAACTGATAAATAGATACTATTGAATTACTTTATTTTCTTTTGTCTTTGCACATGCTACACGTTATTTTAGCCCTCTCTTTCGTTACTGTTATGCTGTCACTATTATACTTACTATACCTACCTCTCCAGTCGCATAGAACGTACAGTAGTATGCTGTTTCTTTCAAGGGAAAGAACAACTCTTAGTGTAGTGGAAATTAATTTGCAAAAATTTTAATTTAAAATTATTAATGCGTTAAACAATATGGAATAAAATAGTAATGTGTAATTCGATGAATTAAAATATTTCAAAATTTATTTACTATGTATCGTTTATCTTTATTTTATTATTAAAAATATACTTCAAATACAATTAAGGTGATTATAGTATAAATATTTCTATTGTGAATATAGCATAAATAATTTTTGTGTAATTATAAAATAGTGTAAATTATAGTGAATATTTAAAATTTATTTATTTTTTAAATTCATTTTTAAAAATTTTAAGCATTTTAAGATCAAATACTTATCTATATGATCACTTTTTTCTGATAATAAAATGATAATAATTGCTGGTGTTCAATTAATCGATCGATAAAAGATCGTTTAATTCTTTAGAAACTGATACTTAAAGAAATATAGCATATTAGGATTTTTGTTGTTTATTAAAATAGCGCATAAAACATAATTGAAAATTCAAAAATAACAAGTGAAATAATTTGTGTATATTTTTTCTCCTATCTTAGAAGAAATAACAATTGATTGTGGAATGTTATAATTACATGGATTATCGGTATGAATAATCATTGAATTGTGAATCTATAAGTGTACTCTTCAAAGACAAATTAATACGACGATTATTCTTCGAGTTTTATTGTCTGCCCTTGTTTCCCGGTTTCTCTCTTAAATATATAACGATTCTTCACTAAACGATTACAAATAGAGAAAAAGTGGAACATTCTACTTTCACGTTCAACGAAGGTATGAAGAATATTATTATATCTTGAAAAATAAATTGATATATCGCTACATATGGATTATTTTATCGATCAGAAATTTTCATAATTTTAATTTCTGTACTTTATTTCATCAAAATTAATAAAATGATTATAATTGTGAAATATAAACGTTTCATCATAAAACGATGTATTCAAAATATGTGATCAACATTATTCTATTGCTTTGATTATTTAACATGTAATAATAAAAATGACATAATTGGACACTGTAATTATCGATCATTATCAAAAAAATTTGCATGCAATTATAATTATTTTTTTATTCTTTTTTTTATTAGTATAAAATAATATAATGCTAATATAAATAAAAAAAAGGAATAAATATAGAACAAAAAATAGATCAAAGATTAAATAAACAATAATAAAATTGTTTTCCTTACTTTGAAATGAATATTTCTTCTATTTTTTTTATTGAATAAATATTTTATTATCAAATATTTATAATTAAAAGTTTTTCATTATATTTATATATGTTCAGAAATTATTAAAATTCATATTATATTTTTTGTGAATCATTTTGTGCACAAATATGTGCTAATTATATAAGTTTCTTTATTTATAAATAATTTTTAAGAAAATACCATTGCATTTTAATTTTATAAATATTCAAAAAATTGTAAATCATTTAAAAATATTTCTTATTAATATTCTGTTCAATATATTCCTTGTTACTATTATGCGTAATAAGACAAAAATTTTAGTAATTCATTCAAAGAAATTTTATTTCTGAGAAATAATCTCCGTTAAAAAAACTTCTATATTTTTGGCAAAATAATGCTATGATAGAGAATCTGAATCGACAAATTTCCTGTATATATAACGCTACTAATTCTGTTGCTATATTTTTATAATACAGCATAACATTTTTTGATTTTCATTTTTAATGACATATTAATCTTTTTAATATGTAAGATTTTTTAATAATTTTTTATTTTTAAAAAATACAATACAATGGAGTAATATATGAACATAAAGTAAAAGTGAACATTCATTGATGTATTCACATTATGTAAATAATATAACGATCTTCTTTAATATTCTAACATTTTTCATTCTTCTTACATGAAAAATAAAATATATAAATATATATTATAAATATTACTATGAATGGTTAATTAATTATATTAATTATATTAATCATATTGAAATAAAATTTATTTTATTAATTTCTTTATAATAAATAAAATAAATTTTTCAAATGTTATTCAGTTTAAGATATAGATACAATAAATATTGCAATACTATGAGAAATATACATCATGTCATAAATTATTTATATACAAGTATAAATAATAATTGATTTTTTTTTATTTATTCATGGGTAGCAAATACTCTGAAGTTCAAGGAGAAAAAAAATTAATAGCAGGTAAGTAACTCAATTGGTATAGTAGTTATCTGACAAACAAGAACTGACCGGTCAAATCTATTTTTGTTAAATTTTATTTTATTATTTTATTATTTAAATTTTTTCTTTTTTATGTTTCTTAAAAAAAGATATTTACAACATGTACTACTTTGAAACAAAAATCTCATATGAGAGTATATTATATAGATGGCGTTACCTTATAGATAATTAAAATTTGATAAACAATTAGTCTGATAGAGACTATACATAATATATATATAATATAAGATAAATAAAAAATGAGAGATAGATAGAGATATATAATAAGAAATAAAAATTTTTCTTAATATGAATTTTTGGCTTACAAAAATATATAATTCATATAAAATTCATAATTTTGTTTTAAATATTATTATCAATTATATATACATATATGAGTCATTAATCTATTATATCATATATAATCTATTAAATCATATATAAATATTTAATAAAAAATTTCTAATTACATTGAAAAATCATTATTCTTAAGTAAGTAAATTAATGAATTTTAATTATATTTTTAAAAGTTTAAAACTTATTTTACTTATTATATGTATACATATATTTCGAAATTATTAGAATTAGAATTAGAAATATTAAAATAAAATTTATGTTATATAAAAAGAAATGTATTTGAAACATTATTATTAAATTTAATATTTTGGAAAATTTATTATATCTATAGATTTAAAAAAAACTCTTAAAAATATATAAATAAATATATATCCAAAAAAAATTATTTTGATATAAATATATTTAAAATATGCTAAATATATATATATATATATAATATGTTTAAAACTATAATTTACAGCTATGTAATCTTTTTTATAATATAATCGAAATTTACACATTCAATAAAATTATTAAAAAATTGATTATTTATTCATTTTATTTATTTAATTAAATATATTTAATCAAAATATTGAAGCCAGTATTAATACCATTAAAATGCTATCGTACAATTAAAAATATATTTGTTTGCCTAGTTTATCTAAGATAACAGATGAATAGTAGATGGTGGGGTTTTAAAATTGATAATTGCAATCAATTTGATTTCAGGTTCGATTCTCTCATAAAGATTAAGACTTGGGAAGCAATAATAGCTCAGAAAGTGTGTGCAAAAGCGCAATAGTTTAGAATTCGAGAGACAAAAAATAGAAATAGACAGGACAAAGAAAAAAATGATTCGGTTGTCGGTGACCTTTGTTTTGGTGATTTTGTTTGGTAAGACTGAAGTGCTATGATATTTTTATCATATATCAATGATTAAATGAAACATTTGTTTAAATGTGATACTTTAGCTACAGATAGTGGTCTCCTCAATATTTTAAACAATCGAACTAACAATAGATTTATCAAATAATGTAAAAATAAAAATATACAAACTTCCTTTATTTTTAAAATCAGAAATAGTTTTACGTAAAGTAAGTGTGTACCAATTGACGAATATTTACATGTTGGTAATTTTTCTTTGTACATGTACTTTTATAATAGAATTAAGAATGATTATTTTATGATTCGTTATTAGTTGGTAGAGTGTCTCCACTTCCAGAAGATGAACAAGAGAATAAAATGAATATTACAAACTTAAACAAAATGACTAATATTTTGAATAATAATAAAGCGATTAAATCTTCAATGAAGACTATAGAAAATAAAAAGGGTAGGTAAAAATAACTTTCTTAATAACTTTTTGGTCTCAATTCGATTAAAATGTATAGGATCAATATTCTTATATAATTTATACTTAATGATAGATAAATTATTGCTGTAAAATGTACTGAATATTTTATTATTTTTATTTTAAATATAGAAATAATAAACGAAAACAATAATTTTATATCAAAAAATTCAATCAATACAGTAAACATGATCGAAGTAAAAAAAATAAAAAATAAAATACAAAATTGTACTTTTACGAAAGAACAACACGACATGCTTAATTGTAATATGACACACGATGATGATGGCAACATAGAACAAATTCAATTATTAAATTCTACAGGTTTTTATTATAATCATATAAAATTTAAATAAATTTACAAAGTTAAAAGCGATTTATATTATTTGTATTATATATTATTTATATATATTTTTTTTTTTGCAAGAATCTACGATAACAACTGCGAGCACTAATGTTGAAACAAATCACTCTATAAATGATTCAGGTATAAAAATATATTTTATCGTAATAAATTATTTTATAAAAATATGCAATCATATCATTACATAGTTAAAAATTAATTGCATATTTTTTATAATATATTTAATATATATTTTAATATATTTTATTATAATAGATACAAGTACAGTTTTAAAACATACTACTAATACTAATGAAGCATCGACTGATTTTATATCGCCGTTACTAGTAAATAAAGTTGTTGCAAATATAGACTCTGAAGATATTATTGAGGCTGTAAAATCTGTCAATCAATCAAACAACAAACATATGTCTTCGGGAATTATAGCATTAGTTACCGCAATCAGTTTTGCTGTAGCAATTGCATTGGTCTATATTGGTATGATCGTTTGGAGGCGGTATATTGAGTGAGTATAAAATTTATCATTGTTTTTATTATATGATATTATATAATTATTTTATTTAATATTTATATATTTTAGATATCGATATGGACATCGGGAATTACTTGTTAATGAATTAGAATTTGATACTAATGATTTGCGACATTTTGAGGTATGTTAAATAAATATTTAATAGATTAAATATATAATAATTTCATTTTATATGTTGTAGCTGTGATTTAATAAATGCAATAGAGAGAGAAAAAAATAATAATTCATAGCTAAATAATTAAATAATTCATAGCTAAGGCTGATAATATAACTATGAAGATTTATTGATCTGTGATACTAGACATGCATTGTGTCAAACAGTCAAGACACCAAATATATTTGGATAATATTATATATTTCTTATAATGTAAATGTTTTATATATATTATGAATCTATTTTTTCAATTTGTTGATCGTTTTTTCTTTGTCCTCTAGAAATTAAAATAATGTTCTAATAAATAAATAAATAATATAATGTTAAGTATCAATTAAATGTTTTATAAAAAAATTAAGATATTAGAATAATATATACCAATTTTTTTAAATTAATATAACTAATAATCTTCATCTTTTTGCGATATTTAAAGTTGTTAAAAATGTAATAAATTAAATCTTTGTAATACTATACTGTTATCATTTTTCCATTTGTTTTTATATCGTATACAATGGATATATAAATATTTTAATCAATTAGTGAATTATTTTTTTTAACATTTTTATTTTTAAACAATTTAATTAAAATGAAATAATATAATATTTATCTATTATATAGGATGTTATTACATTTATTGAACATTTTTGGAGAATGATTCTAAAAATCAAAATAAACACAAAAGTTAATATAAAAGAATATTAGTTTATTTATAAGTTATAAATAATTTAGATTTAGATTAAAGTGAAATGAAAATAAAATGAGATATCTCTATCATCTAACTTGTTTTTTGCTTTATTTAATGCGAATTTTAGTTATTTATAAATTATATATAATAAATAAATTTTAATTGACAATTATATATATATATTTTTTTATTTATTTTGACTTTTAAATTTTTCGAAGATATTTCAAAAATATATTAATATACTCATAATTATATAATCATATATGACTTAAATTACATAATTATTGACAAAATAAATATTTATAAGAATAAATATTTATTTATAAATTAATAACAAGTAACAAATGCGTATTTTGCATCTTGTACTTAACGTTATTCTTTTATTCATTTTGCATATTTATCTACATTAATATTTAATGCATTTTTTTATAAGATACCTACATTTTTGTTTTAGAAATAGTTTTTTTCTTGTTATTAATCAAATTGAAAGTACATACAATAATATTTGTGTATGGATTGACATACATTAATCTTTCTTTCTTGTAATTACAAGAGGACCCACATTATCATTCATTTCTTGATTATGATGTCCATGAGCACCATCACAATATGGCCACTAATATAATAAAAATTATTGTAAATATTAATTACAATTTTTATTTGTTAAATTTTATTAAATTAATATTAATTTTTCATATGCATATAATTCATATATAAACAAGTTATATAATTACATAATATCCATTTATATGACTCACAAAATTATCTTTGAATTTTTGGAATATAATTAATTAGAATGAATCAAATACAAAAACTTAATAAATAAGAATACTTATAAAAAATATATAAACTTACATTTTTAGATCTCCAGCAACGACAAAATGCAGCTTTTTCAGTAATATCTTCTATATCAACTGTATCTACTACTTTATTTACATCTTTTTTTACACTAAGATTCACAAGTCCACATGGCTGTAATGTATATAGATAAAACATAGATGACATAATTTATTAATTATTTAATACAAGGAATTCTTTGTAAATTATGTATATTGTAAATATAAATTTATGGATTCATATAAAAAATAATAACATTTATAAAGAAAATAGAAATGAAAATATAAATGAAGCTATATATTATATGTTATATAATCAAAAAAAAAATAGAATAAAATATAAAGCTAATATTTAATCATGATGTCCTTGATATTCTATAATAATAATAGACAAGTATACTTACTGGTCTAGCCAATGGACAAAATGCTTTGTATGACATGTAACCGATACCTGCTACTAATGCAGTAGGTGGAATTAAGGCAATCCAGTCTCGTACTAAATGAAAATGAAAAAAAAATTCATAACTCGTACTTATAAAATTGATATAGAGAAAGTGGTACAGTAGTAATTTGCAATGTCACGATTAAAATTTATTTCTGAAAAATATTCAATATGATTCTATTAAATTATTAAATATATTGTAATTATATTATTTAATTTCTTACTTCCAAGTCGAAACCATCCTCCTATAGAATCTGGAATAGGTAATCCAGCTAAATAATTTGGAAGAGTTACTTTAACGAGATGTGCTATTGGCATCATGATTGCTACTACTATAGTCAATTTACAATTTCAAATGCAACTTGTGCTTTGAACGGTGATTATTTTTTTCAAATTACAAAGAGAAATATATAAATTAAAAATATTTTTATATATATTTACATAATACAACATATAATATATTGCATTTTTAAACACTTTATCTATATAAAATTATTGTAATATTAAATAAAATAACAAATCATTTAAAATTTGAAATACTTAAATGTAATATTTATCTATATCTATATAATATTTTTCTATATCTGATTCTTCTGTATTTATTACTTTTATTTCTATATTCAATTATTTTTAATTATAATATATATAATAATACAATGCATCGCATTGTGTACATATTATATAAATCATAAATTTTAAAAATTTTTAAAACTAAAAAATTTTTTTAGATTTATCTAGTTTTTAAAATCATTATAAAACATACTATTATAAAATAATATAATAAAAAATATTCATATTATATATTTTTTAAATAAAATATATATATATATATATATAAATACTTACATATATTTTCTTCAATTCTATTATTGCCGGTAAATTTTGATTAACGTAGTGAGAGAGGTGAAGGACCGGTAGGGTTTGTGAGATGCCTTGTAAGTGGCGCCATCCAGTCGCGAGGCGTTCGCCGGGCAGAGTGGAGGTGGTTACGTTGTCCGCAAGGATATGTGGTCGGTTACCGCGACGCCGCCGCGGTTCGCGCAGGCACAGGTACGAAGTGCGCGCGTTTTCGAGGCGGTATCACGAAAAGCGCAGGAGTGGCGTTTCGTTCTACGTATCGTTCCGATATCATTGCTACAGTTCATCGTTGATGTACAGTGGGTAATAGGAGGTTCGTAAATCGGCAAAAAGAAAGGAAAGACGAGGAAAAAAAGAAGAAAGAAAAGAGATAGAGCGCGGTTCTATCGCGCGGTGCAGTGTGAAAAGTGTTCGCGAAAGGGGGCTTTTGCTTCTTCTTGTGTGTGCGTGTACGTGCATGTGCCACAGCAAAAGCACGTAAGAACGTAACTAGTGACACACGGAAAAAGGAGAGAGAGAGAAAGACGAATAAACACGGGTCGTCGGATAATCCTTGTGTACGGTGTGCGAGTTTCGTGAATGTGCGTCAAATGACAGTGAGGTGATCAATGTGCTCGAAACATGGCTGAGGAGCTGGTGGTCACCCTGAACCGCGGCGACTCGTCCGGATTCGGGTTTTCGCTCCTCGGTACCGCGGGTTTGCCGCACGTCATCTACGACATCGTTGAGAATTCGCCGGCAGCAAAGAGCGGCAAGGTGAGTATTTACTTCGATCGTATTTTCTATATATTTGTGATTGCCTATTGCGTATCACAAATAGAGAGAGAGAAGTTTGAGAACATTTAAAGATTAGAGAAAGAACAACCCCAAGTTCTACTTATACACACATTATGTGCTTGTCGAGAATCCTGCGAACGTGAAGAAGGCTCCTCAAAATAACGCCCGGTGTATATCGACCCGTGTTATTATCGCGAGCACCCTCTGTCGCCCTGTCTGTTTCTTGACCTCTGATTATTTTTTATTTTCACATTTTATAAGTCGTGTTGCTAATGCTTTTTGTATTAGATTGTAATATATGAAACATCCATTAATTAACTTATGTTCTCTGTCAAGAACAAGATTGGTGTAATATCGTTCAGAACTGAAAAATTACAGTAAATTGAGGTAAGAGAAGTTGACATCATTTCTGAAAACAATATTTATATATGTCGTATAAGTTGTACCCTACGAGATAGAATGAATAAAACGATAGAACTTTGTTTTAGCGAAGCGAAATGGAGATACGAATGTTATACTGATTCGGAAAAATCATATATGTACATTATTTATCTGCAGTACGGCTTATATTATATAAAATTGAATGTCGATATATGCTCTTTCGTTTCGTGCATTTTTATTTTTATTTTTATTTGAAATATTGTCAACAATCTCTCCACAGCGATATACATGAAATTCGAATCGTTTTACCTTTTATTCTAAATTAAATATATCTTAATCAAATATTGTGATAGTATTAACATAGATGCTAGTATTTAAATAGGATGCTACTAAAAAATTATTATTACTTTGTATCGGTTTCTTAAAATCTTTTGTAATGATATTAGTTTTGAAAATAAAAAATAAAAATGTTGAAAGATTTTATGAAATTCATAAATAATAGATAAAATTGTCATCGATAATTTTAATCGAATTTAGTAAAATAGTCGAAAAAAATGAATATTTTATATTTAGTTAATATATTACACCCGTCTTAACGTTGACGGTGCGGGGATGCTGATTGGTTGGGTGGGATCGGTTTAACGGCCACATTCCAGCCTGTCGGTCGGTCCCTCTGTCCGTATGTTTTTTCTCCTTTCCTTTTTCCCTTCTCTTTATATCTATCTTTCTTTTTCTTTTTCTCTTTCCTGTTTCCTGGGGAAGGTATTTCTTCTCGATGATCATACGAATCGGAAAATTTGAATCAAAAAAAATAGGTCTTTTATATATTTCTATAAGCTTTATTTGATATCGTTTTTTTAAATGATTTCTGATATTTTCAAATAATCTGAAATATTTTCAGTCAATATCACAGTCGCGCTTATATAACTAAAAAAACGAAATTAACTTATTTTATATAAACAAGTAAATCAATTTATAGCATCATACTTAATTTTCCAATATCTTTTGTTTATATTTGTTGTATATTTTATTTTTTATTTTTTAAATTTTGAATATTCCTGAATAGTAATTTTTCATATCTTTATTATAAAAATATTAATATTAATGTTAAAAAAAATATATTATTTTTATAAATAATATACAATCAAATTTTTCAATAAAAAATTCAAATCAAATGGTAATATAGATTGATTTCAAATATGTTATTACATATTTTTTTATGATTATTAATTTTTTTCGTAATATCTCATATTTTTTTATAAATCGAATGCATTCTTTCTCTCTTCTTTTTTTATTTTTCTCTTTTTTATTTTTTGATTTTAACATAAAATAGATTAATTGCTTGTTCGTTTGTTGGTTTCCAATACCGACGTCGATAAAAGATGCGAATTTTGAATAACAGATGCAAAATAGATTAACCGTCGTTATGTGGACCAGTTTCACAACGAGTTCATAAACCGCGATGGCGGTTGTAATATCGTATGTAATATCGTAAATAAAAAGAATCATAAAAACAAATTTAATGATTAATATAAATGATGTATTTTTTCTCTAATTATGAAACAAATCAATATGAAACATTTTCTTGAAATTTTAAGAAATTTATTCAAAGATTGAATTATTTCCGTTTTTTTTAATTTTATTACTAGATATTTATAGATTAGTTTCGTATGAGCATATGTATATTTCTATGTATATTTCTATGTATGGCACATCCAAGCAATCAAACCGAATGTCTTAAAAAGGACAGAGCGCGCATGCGCATGACTTTTTGTATTCCGCATAACTGTCATTTGCAAGAAGAATGCGTATAACAAAGGAGTAGTCATTACGCGTGATTGGAATGTATATGTATACATTATTCCTTTTTCCTTTTTTTTATTTTTTTTCTTTTTTTTTTTGGAATTCTTAAAGTTCTATTAAAGTTCTAAGTAA